TCAGGAAAATTAGTATTACGCAATATAAGAAGGCTAACCAATGGAGGAAATACCGAAAAACAATGTCTACTAGGTACCAGGCACTATTTAAAGAACATGGAAGGGTTACAAGACAAAAATGGTACTGCCATTGGAAATATTGCCACAATTGTCAAGAAAAAGTTGCCTGTGCCCTACAATGCCAAACAAGCCCATTCATTTAACAAAGTACTAAACTTTGTACTAAAGTTCTCTTATAGGATAGGATACGGGATCTCAAGATGGATCCTGGGGACATTTCGCTGACCTTCTCAGACCAGAAAGCTACAACTCTTGTTGCATAGGTCCTGCTTTACCTTGGTCTTAACCATCCAGTAGAAAAGTATGAAGACGAAATATAGGAAATGAAGCCATGCTGTTATGTTGAGCTGTGGGGGACTCAGGTCAATGGTTTCTGACATTGCCAGTTAAACAGGGGACCCAATGCTATTGTGGGCTACTGGACTCTTTTAGAATATTTTGCTGAGTTTGCACACCTATGGTGTTCAATGACGGAGCTTGGAGAAAATGGGGTGTGCCGATGAATGTCCATTTTGTATTTGTGTATTCCAGGCAGTTGGGATGGATGTATGGTTGCATTCTCTTGATGAATGGAATGATTTGTTCTAATGGTGTTTGTGGATGGGATCGCGGGTCCGCTTCTTGTGCAGCGACTGACCACTGAGAAGAATATATGCAGTGTATTGTTTGTTGAAACTGTGCTTCCGATTGGATTTGAGACTGTCTCATTGCTGTTTTTCGATGAAACTTTGAAAAAAAATATAATAATATGGAAAAAAAAAAAAAAGGATAGGATGTACCTTTAACTACTTTTAAATTAACTTCCAAGAGTACTGTTCCCTTCCCTGGAACTTATTTCCCCTATCCTGGAAATGTACAACACTAGGTACAGTTCTGCAGAGTAGGCAGACCTATTTCCAAAGACTATCAACATTCAAGCACATGACCGCTAATGGTAATATAAATCAGTTCTCTCCTTTACCTTCCTCCAAAGGGTGCCCATCTATCTTCCTGTTACATTTGCAGAACTGTAGCTAAAAAATGAACTACCATGTTTCAAGTCCTCATAGTCTGTACTTCAACCTCAGAGCTATACTCTAAGAAAACTTATTTGTCTACCATTCCTGACTCTGGATCTAAAATGGCCTTCATTTTAAGGTAAGAACTCTGGGATCAGAGATGGTTAAGTTATTTCTAAGAGTTAATTAAGCTTAACAGCAGTTCTCCACGTTCTTTGGGAACATACCCTATTGTCTTCTGCATGACTCAGGCCCTTTGCAAAATCACAACAGGCCACAAAAGACTAGGAAGAGGTTCAGGTAGAACCCATCAAGATGCCCTGGAGGTCACAAACTACACTTGAAGCTGGGTTCCAAGAATTTTAGATTTTTAGTTTTAGTTTTGAAAGCGAAAGACTGGATATAACCGTACAGAGTACTTTAATAAGCAGCCTTTTTAAATTAAGCAACTGAGTAATATTTCATCCCAATTAAGAAACTTGAGAAAAAGGAACACACCTCAAAAAATATCTTCAAAACAGGAAGGTGATTTACCTCTAAGTTTCTGCGAGCTATGTTGTTTTGTTTTCATTTTCTTTTCTTAGAACCGAAATCTCTAGATGCTAACTGAATGGGCTGAAGTACCCAGGTTTCATCTGAAACTCTCCAGAAAGACCCGGTGGGTGGGGGAGTAGGTCAGAGTAACCCTAACCCGGAATTCATAAAAGTTAAAATTTACTAGGAAGGCCTCCAAAATACAAACGTGACATATAAACGTTAGCAGGAAATACTCCTTTCTCCCATCCCCATAACGTAAAAGAAAAAAAAATTGGAGCTTTCGCCTGTTTACAACGGGCCTAAGGTAGGAAGCCAACGGCATGGACCGCCCTCTCCCTGAAGGCCCCTCAGTAGTAGGTGGGCGCAGAGGAAGCCTCTCGGGCCAGCCCGCCCGGCTCCACAAGACAGGCCGGAGCTCCCGCAGCTCGCCTCGCCGCACCGCGCCTCCCCCGCCCCGGCCCCGCCTCGGTCTCAGGGCTCGGGAGGCCTTCACGTGGCCCAAAGTCCACGCCCACCGGGCCCAGTGGGCCCTCGGGCTCCCGGGGCCTGCTCTCTTTGGGGACCCAGGACCTTCTAGAGAGGCAGGCGGGGGCGCTGATGGGCGCCCCGAGGCCCCGGGGCTTCCCCACCGGCTGTACGGGCCCGAAAACCTCGCTAGGCCGGCACTGCCATTACGAGGTTGCCAATCAGGCCGGCCGAGGCCTGCATGACACAGCACGATCTCACCCGGACTCCGACCCGCGTTCAACGCGAGCCCGGCCTTGAGGGCGCGCGGGGGCGCAGCGCGGTCGTAGCCCCTCAACTCGCCTCTTCTGCTCTTTCCCTCCGTCCACCCCACTATCAAACGCGCCCCCCGCCAGACCCCGTCAGGCCTAACCAGCGCTATGGGCCCCGCAGCGCGCGCCTCCGAAGCGGGCGGACGGGCGCGCGCGCACACTCACTCGGCTCCAGAGGCCATGGCGCGCGCCTCTCCCAGTAGGCGGCTGTGGCGGCCCGCGGGTAACGGCTACGACGGGCAGGCGACCGACTGGGCCGGGGCTCGGATTTCCCAGGCGAGGGGCGAGCGACAAACCCGCAGACGGCTTCCCTTTCGCTTCCTCCCAGCTGCACCAGGATGGCGGGCGTGTGAGACACTGGCTCCTGATCCGCGAGGGGAAAGCGACAACGACGACTCAAACGACGGCAGCAAACGCTTCGCTGAGACTGAGCCGAGAAGAGCCGAATCATCGGAAGGAAAGCTGCCCTCACCTCAGCCAATCAGCGCCTGCGCTGGAGACTCGCGCCCGCCTCTCTAAGCCTCTCCCCAGCAACCCGCGGACGATAGCCAATCAGAAAATTCGTTTATGGCTCGGCTCCCGCCTCAGGGATGTAACACGCCCAGTAACGCCACGTCAATTGGCCGCAAAGCTACGCTTCCTCGACGGATTTGGGATTTCGACCAATCAACAAAACGGATAGGTACAGATCGACTAGCGAAAAGAGGGCCTTTAATTCCTTGGAGGTGGACTTTTCCACTTGGCTCCAGTTCATTGGTTTGAATATATCCTACTGGAAGAACCTGGCTTGAACCCTTGTATTAGTCTAGTCCTGTTGTACTGGTAGATCACACACTTAAGTTTCTTCCCAAATCTAAGTATCCTCTTAGTCCTTACCCCACAAACTCTTCTTGCCCCTTGGATACTGGTTCCAGCCATCCCCACTCAGGATCCTGTGACCAAGCCCAGCTCCAAATGCATCCTACCCTACTGACATATCCTCTTAAATATTTTAGTTTTACACTCATTCGATGCCATACTATATTAATTTTTGTAAGGGATAGTGTTACCAGAATATTAAGGTCATGTAGCAGGGAGACAAAGACAAACTGCGACAGCGGGAGGTAAAGTACAAGCATATTTATTTAAAAGATACAAAGGTAAGAAGTAAAGCTCCGGCTCTGGATAAATAACCACAAGGGCTCTTTGTCTGAGTTTTTAAGTAATTTAGAAGGGAGATTGGGCCGTATTTTTTAGGGTCCAGTCTGTGCAGTATTCACACAGTATGCAGAACCCACATGCCCTTAAGCCAACACCTGCCTGATCATGCTCTAGTAGGCCCCAGTCAGGGTACCATGTTTTTGAAATATCCTTGGAGAGTCATGACTCAGCAGACTCCATTTCAGGGCCCTTGTCCTTAGACTCTACCTCTTGTTTCCCTAATACCTTTTACAAAGTAGGACACTTTCTTATACCCAGGCCTCAAGCTCATAAAAGATATTGACAAGCTAGTTCATTTGTGAGACCCTGGGTTTCATTCCAAACACTGCCCCTCCTAGCTCTGCAAAAAAATAAAGTTGGGAGAGGGCACCTAAGATAATCAATACTCAGGGCTGGGAGATGACTCAGTAGAATAAGCGCTTGCTTGGCAAGTAAGTGCAAGGGCCTGAGTTCAATCCTTGGTTCTGCAAAAACAAAAAACAAGGAAAATCAATACTCAACAATGCATAGTAGGCAGAATGGTCAAAGGCAACCACAACTAGGCATGGTGGCATACACCTGTAATCTTAGCACTTGGGAGGCTGAGGTAGGATTACCAGGAGTTTTGAGGCCAGCCTAGGCTACATAGGGAGTTCAGGGTCAGCCCAAACTACATGGCAAGGCCCTGTCTCAAAAAATAAAAATAAAATAAGGACAACCACAGAACACAATACATTCAATACAGTCCAAGGCAGCAAGAAAATCGTATGCTGGGACTAGAAGTCTTTGGCCCAAGATGACTATTGGCCCTGATGCTGTCAAAGAGCAGCTCTTAGTGAATGTTGACTCAATTCACCCACTCCTAATCCACACATACATTTGACTGAGGAACAGGGTGGGGAATTATTTTAGGTCTGCCCATCTCTCTTAAATATAAAATTCCCTAACTGCCATTTTTTTTTTTTTTTTTAATTTTAGGGAAGCATCTACAGGGTGTTCGGGGTCTCAACACAAGATCAGAATCATAGTGATCCGCCTGTTTACAACCTCCCAAGAGCTGGGATTACAGGTGCACACCACCACACCCAGTCTCAATTGCCATCCCTGGGGACGGAGCTGGTGCAGCAGGCCCAGGAACTGAACCCCTGCTTGCAGGCACTTCTATCTGCTGAACTATTTGGCCAGCCCTAAGTTCCATGTCTTGAAAGGCCCATGTAGCTCACTCAACAGACTTAAATCCACTCACATGCATCTTGCACAGGATCCTGGGCTTTCCTTTGGAAGGTCCAAAATACTGCTTCCAGTGTAAGGGTTACATAGCTTTTTCTTATACCCAGACCTCAAACTCATAAAAGAGATAGCGAACAGCTAGCGGTTCATTTGTGAGACCCTGGGTTTCATTCCCAGCACTGTTCTTCCTACCTCTGGAAAAAAAAAAAAAAAAATCTGGGGGGAGAGAGGGCACCTTAGATAATCAATACTCAATAATGTGTCACAGGCAGACAAGAACACTAGGAAAAAAAAAAAAACAGGAAAAAAGGTGTCACAATGAAAGGCAATGACTTATTGGTGGTAGGCAATGCTTCCTCTGGAGCCAGAATGACAGTTAATGGGCCAAATTTCATAGAACTATCTCCAACCTCACCAGTACAGGTGATAGGAATAGATAGTTCCAGCCACACTCTCCAAGGGCAAGGCAGAAAAAAGCCCTCCCCACAAAGAGATGGTACACTGAGTCCCAGCTTATGGCAACTACAGGTCAACAAGGTTCTGTTATCGAAGTCTGAAACTCTTCAAGGAGGGTTTCACAGTCAGGTGGATGAATCCAGCTCAAGTATGTTTCCAGGTACAGTGGGAGAGACCTAGAGGTCAAGAAGGGTGATGCCAAAGAGTGAGATATACAAGGCTGGATAGCCTTCCCTTTCACTCCTCATCACCCCACCAGGCCACAAGAACTCTAGGATCCCAGTCCTTCAGCCCCCAGACCACAGGCCTAAGCCTCACCAGGTAGCTTCTTCCTGTGGCAGCTGAATTTGGGCCTTCAGCCTCCACCAGATAGCACTGGCCTCATCCCTCCGATTCAGCTTCTTCAGAGTCTGAAGCAGGTGAAACGAAGCATCTCTGTGGCCTATAGCCCCATCCCAGAATATAAAAACTTAGAACTTGAGATAGCTAAAGGATCATTTTATAAAAGGGGAAAGTGAGGCCTAGAGAGAAGTATCTTGTCTATACTCATGAAATGCAGGAAAGATCATTAACAACCACTTCTATCCCAGGATCTACTGCCTACCCAGTACAAAAGGCTCAGCTCACCCTGTTCCTATACAACCCACCACAACACTGTCATAGAACCTGTGTCTGAGGATACTGGTGTGACCAGGAACTTCAATATTAGAAGCCTTGCATACATATCTGTATAGATTTGTATGTATACATCTGGGTATATCTTAGGTATATAGCGCATAATCCCTTTTACCCCTTCCACCTGGGAATACCACCCTTACACTTAGGCCCAAGTACCTACTCCATGTGCCTCTCTGTCCTTGTATACCTGTGCATAGCTGATACCACGTAAGTATACATACCTGGGCACATCTGTACACTCAGGAGGAAGTCCTGTAGGGCTTTAGTATCCTGGCCATTGGCTAGCCATTCCAGTCCACGACTGATCAGAGCAGCTGCCCGAAGATGTTGCAGTGTTGCACCTGACCTACACCCCTGCTCACAGTTGGAAGCTGCTCCTGTGAACCCCCCCAGAAGTCATGACAGTGTCTTCCAAGCCTCAGGGACACCAAAATCTCAGGTACCCCTCTATTTATTCGGGGGGGGGGGGTTGCTGGGGATTGAACCTAGGACCTTGTGTGTGCTAGGTAAGCACTACACCACAGAGCTACATTCCCAATCTCCTCTATTCTTGAGTCCAGGGTCTCGTTCTTAAGTCTGTCAGTCTGGTAGGCTGGGATACATGGAAAGAGAACCCACCCACCACTTCCAGGAGATAAGGAAAACTGAAAGTTTAAATTACCTTGGTCTTTGTCCTCAGGCATGGTCCTGAAAAGCAGCTCAAGACAACTGAAGACATGGGCGAGCAAAGAGAAATCAAATGCAAAGATATGAGTGGATAAGAATTAAGTTCACCAACTCGGTGCCAATCAGAAAACTATTCTTCCATACCTCCCCAGAACCCTAAGGAGCTTTCTGGGCTCACCTAGTAAATTCACTGATTGCCTTTTTTTGGACCCTCAGTTGAACCCAGGCCTGACCCTGAAGCAGATGGGCAGCAGAGACCCAGAGTGGGCAGTGTGACAGTTCCTTTGTTCCTTTTCTGACATCTTCCCGCATCCGGGGCATCTTAGGAAGCAAAAATGATGTGCGGCTCAGCAGCTCCTCACACACAGTCAGAGCATCCTGGGCTCGGCCTGCCTCAATCAGTGCTAACGCAGCCTCCAAGAACACCTCTGGCATGCAGGGTCCTGGGGGACATGAGGGTGGGGAAAACTGGGGTGGGAGGAGGATTCAATGTCTTAAACAGGCATGAAGCATGAGCCACTACCCCCACGTCTTCTCCAGGCTCTGTTACCATGCAGAGACCTGGTCTCCCAGAATGGACAGATAGAACCTTAGAGGGAAAAACTGAAAATTGCCTACTCCAAAAGCAACCCCAACCCTCCCAAATCATTGCAGAGACCCCTAAAGATATACCTACCCTTGACCCTGAGCCATCCAACAACAGAGCCAGCAGATCCAAGTAATGCTCTGCAGCTGCTTCTGCCCTGGGGAGTCACAGTCCATCAGCTTTACATTAGGCCCTGTCAGGACCCTCCACAGGTCTCAGAGATAATGTTCCCTTAGCTGATGGATAATAATGGTCTTGAAAGGGGAAAGGCAGATCTTTGGAACTCCAACCCTGACTCATTGTGGCTCTACCCCAGTTACAGATGCATTAGGAAGACTTCAGTATTTCAAAGACAAAGTTACTAATTGGATGAAGTCCTCAGTTCAGGTCCAGCAATAAAGCAGGTAAACTGAGCAGTACAGACCTATGTTCTGCCTCTGCTTCATTCACTGGTCACAAGAACAAAAGCAGAGTCACACCCTACAGGAAGAGGAGCTCCAGTGAGCAAGGGAAAACTTTACCTTCCTGTTTGTAGGCATCGGCTCGCTAGCAGATGCTTGACTTGGCTCTGTGTGCCACAGTGAAGGGGAGAGGCTGGGTCAGGTCGTGGGAGTAGCAGTTCTACCTCAATGAGAATCTGGGGGGCTTCAGAGTTATAAGTGACACTCAAGGCCTAAAAGGAACAGAAAGAAGAAGGGCTCTGTATAATCTTTGGGAGCCATACTTCCTGATATTTGCGTCTTCACTAGTCTCCACAACACAGGTTGTGGAGATACTCTGTATCTTCACCTGCCAGTTCTTTACCTCAGCCAGCAGCTCCAGACTCTCCAGCTCTGCTGTTGTGTCCCCCACTTGACGGTATAATCTAGATGCCTCCAGAAGAGGAAGACCACAAGCAGACCCCTCTTTCAGGGCTGCAATTAAGTAGAGCAGTGCTCTCTGTGGATTTCCCTACATTTGTGGAAAGATACAGCCTTAGCTATCCTCACCAAGCAGAATGCTGTCCATAATGCTGTCCCAACCACCACCACACAGGGCTATCTTTACCATTCTACGGAGACAGTTCCCCAATGCTGTATACACCTGGACCAGCACAGGCCGGGAACACAGACTTGAGGCTGCTTCCTGTAGGCTGCTCAGCGCCTTAGGTAGCCTCCCTGTGATCAGCTCCTGCAAGCCTGGAAGCAATCATGGTGCAAGCTTAGAAAAGCCCACAGGGAACAACACAGAAAATAACTGCCAGAGAAGTCTTGAGAGCTGAATGGGACCTAACAGGGACAACATAAAGCAGAGGACCCCTTATAAGAGCAGAAGATAAATCAGGTTGCTGGTTGACCTTGGCGGAGGGCAGATGCTGTCAAAAGGACATTTCTCAAACCCTGGGCATCCTGCAGGATCAGTGAGGCATCTGATTCTAGAGCTGGAGGGCTCCAAGTTTTCAGAAACAACAACAGATCTTCAGAGGCTCTGCTCTGAAAAGAAGAGAACATTTAAAAGTGCTAAGCCTCTAACCACCCCCTTTCCTTGGTCCATCTTTGCTGGACTTTGAGCTCAAGAGTCTTCTTGATTCCTGGGCTGATGAGATGGCTCAGTGGTCTAAAGCACTCTACTTAGAACAAGCTTAGCAAAGCACAGGGACCGCGGTTCAATCCCCCAGCACCACATGCCAGCCAGCCCTGCCCCATGGTGGGCTGAGCTGGCCACACACACACACACACACACACACACACACACACATAAATAAATAAATAAATAATTTAAAAAAAAAAAAGTCTTCTTGATTCCTATGCCCCCAATTCTAACAGAAAGATAGATGTGAGGCAAAAATAAAAAGGAAAAAGCCAGGCATAATGGCACATAGTTGTAATCCCAGCACTTGGGAGGCTGAGGCAAAAGGATTGCTGTAAGTTCAAACCCAACCTGAACTACACAGTGAGAAACTTGTAAAAATCCAGGGGAAGACAGGCATAATGATGCACACATGCAATACCAGCATTCTGGGAGGTTCAAGTAAGAGGATTGCAAGCAAATTTGAGCCCACAGTGGGCAACTTAACAACTAGGAAGATGCTGTCTCAAAATAAAAAAGGCCTGGGCATGTAGCTTAGTGTGAAGGCCCTAGGTTCAATTGGCTAAATAGGAAAAGACAAGTAAAGGGAAAGGAAAAGGGAAGGGAAGGGAAGGGAAGGAAAGAGGAAGAATGAATCAATAATCAATCTATGCCAATGGTATCCCTTCTCATTCAGGAGAAGCCCTTGAGTACATGGAGCAGGGGCCATGTCTGGGTAACTAATTAGACTCTGGGAAAAGTACTCAAATTCATTGAGCTACTTTTAACCACCTGCCAAGTTCCCCAATTCAGAGCTAATCAGAGCAAGAACACCCGAGTCCCCAAGAAAACTTAGGTTTTCTAGTCATCAACCCAGCAGCCTTTACAGCACATCTGGGGGTAAGAGAGAAGGAAGGATACCCGCATCGTCAAATCACTTCTTCCATTACCTGAGTGCCATTCAGTGTCTGCAACAACCAGGCTGTGTCCCCAAGATGGTCAGTGCTCAGCCAATGGGCTGCCTGCAGGCCAGCCAAGAGATGCAGGGCAGGAAGCAAGTCCGGCAGAAGGGAGGAAACATGGAGGACAGAGTACCATAGCTCCCTGAGCCCCTGGTCCAACCTGGGCCCCAGCTGCTCCTGGGTCTCCAGCACTGTGGAGTACATACACAAACAGCTAAAGTGGGACCGCATCCTCCATTTCCCCACAACCTCTGGCTTGGCTTTTCTGCAAAAGCCTAAAGATTGCAATACATCAATCTGGTCTGAAAAGCACATGGAGGATTAGAGAAGGGCATCTCACTCCTATTGTTTCTCCTCTTCCCACCTCCTACCTCCCCACCCCAGATTAAAGGTAGAAGCCAGCAGGAGCATGAGAAATGATCTCCAGCCTTCACCTCTCTTTAAGGCCTGTTGGACACACTGAGCCTGGTCTTCATTGAAACCCTGGGTCAGGCTCACTCTCAGGATAATGAAGTTACAGGTAACGGTCAACTCCAAGGGGAGCAGAGGAACAGCTGCAGGAAGCCCTGGAACAACAGATGCTGGTCTTCCAGAGATAATCCCACTCCAACCCAAATGACCACAACAAAGAACTCATCCTTTGAACAGTCTGGAAAGGGCAGTAAGTTATCCAGATCAGATGGTCCCTTCTGTGCCTCAAACAGGACTCCGTGCCCCATCCCCCCTTCAATCCCAGAAATAGAGAAGAGAAAGGGAAGTGACCATACCATAGAGGTGTCTGTTTACCTTGCAGACTGTAGAGGACCCCCCTGAACCCCTCCAGTATGTCCTGAATCAACTGCTGTCGTCTTAGACCACACTCCTGAGCCATCACTTCCTGCCAAATGTAGGAGGGAGTGTCATTGAGGATCAGTCTTTCCTCGCTTCCTTTGAAGCACTGTGGGGGGGGGGGGGGTCCATTCCCATCAACTCTGGCTCTATGAGTAGGTCAAGGTTAAGCTCTGCTCCTCCCCATCGGCTGGGGGAGACCCACCGCAAACCAGATTTCTGGGCCCTTACAGCTGTAAGGCGAGAATTCAAGAACTTCATTACCCTGGCCCGTCGAACAAGTCGATCGTTCCTTTCTCTCCACAGGTCCAAGCAGCTGGCGCGTGGAGCGGAGGCGCCCGGAAAGGTTGGGAGGGACATGGTGGCCGATACACTTCCGCACCCAGCCGGACACCCTAGTACCTCTTGGGGTCCCAACGTGGCAGTGAGCCCGAACTTTCCAGAGTTAATTCGGCGCCGCTCGCCTCTGGTTGGCCAGAACTACAAATCTCGGCTGCGGTTGGTCCACTTCCAGTCAGTTCCTGCGGGAAACCCGGGAAAGAAACAAGTCCGCGTTGGCCAGAGGTGGGTGGCTTGTCAGCGGCGGAATCACTCGGCTCGCCGTTGGCCTAGCTGGACGCGTTAGCGAGGGTAGTCAGGAACCTTAGAGGGGTCCAGCCGTGGTGCCGACCCTTTCCTTGAAGCCGCAGCCGGGGCCGCGCCCCTCCTTGCGTTCCATCGGGCGCGGTGCATGCTGGGGGTTGTAGTGCGGCCCGGAAATCGCCGCGCGCCCGCTCAGTGAGTGCACCTGGCACCGAAAAGTGACAATGGCCGTCCGAAATTCCACTTTCTCTTTCCAGAAGTAGAGGTGGGGAACTTGCATAGCCGAGAGGGTATTCCTACTACCCCTTCCAAAAAACAACCAAAAGTGGATTAAAATTGAACTATATGAGCCCAAACCTAAAAACTTCAAAAAGAGAACGTGGGACCGGGGAGATGGCTCAGTAGAATAAGTGCTTGCTAGGCAAGCGCAAGGACCTGAGTTCAATCCCTGGTTCCACCAAAAAATAAAAATAAAAATAAATGTATTTCTTTGAAAAGATCAACAAAATTGATAATCTCTAGGTCATTAAAGTAAAAAAAAAAAAAAAGAAGAAGAAGACATAACAGCCCTAGACTGGATTTTTGTGTTGTTTTGGATTTTGTTCGTTTTGTTAATAATGTCTCACATGTAATTTAGACTGGCTTTGAATTCCCCATGTAACCCAGGCTGGCCTAAAACTAGCACTGATCCCTTAGGAGAGCTGGGATTATGGGTGTGCCCACCAAGCCTATTTTGGTATGGCTTTTTGGGCAGAAACTAAGGTTAAACCCAAAAGCCTTCACAGGAAGCTACTTCCCCATCCCATTTTAAATTACAAAGCAAGGCCTCATTAAACCGCTAAATTTCCCAGGCTGGGCTGGAATATGATTGCAATTGCCAAGACCTCCTAGAGCACTGGGATTAAAGATATGTGTCACCATACCTGACTCATCAAGATTTAACTCTTGGGGGATCCTGAACAGACCCAGAGCGCAGGCCCGGCGAGGGAGTGAGATGACCCAGGCTGCGGGATCCTGAACAGACCCAGAGTGCAGGCCCAGCGAGTGAGTGAGACGACCCCAGGCCGCGGGATCCTGCACAGCCCCAGAGCGCTACCCCAGCGAGTGAGTGAGACGACTGGGTCCTGCGGAATCCTGCACAGACCCAGAGCGCAGGCCTGGCGAGTGAGTGAGACCACCCAGGCCGCGGGATCCTGAATAGACCCAGAGTGCAGGCCCGGCAAGTGAGTGAGATGACCCAGGGGCTGCGGGATCCTGAACAGACCCAGAGCACAAGCCTGGTGAGAGAGTGAGCCGACCTGGGGCCCGTGGGATCCTCATTTGACCCCCGGCTGCATGCAGGCCCAGCACGGAACCCTTCAGCAGAACTCCCTGCAAAAAGGCTAGAGGTAAGACCCACACAGCTGATTCAGGAGCAGAACATCTTCCAAGAGAAATACAAAGGGTTCAACTCTAACACCTACAGCAGAAAGAAGTGCAGCACAGCAGCCAGATCCAAGCAACACCCACCTGGAGGAATCTGAACTTCATAGATCCGAACCTGTTGTTAAGGTAATAACTCTAAGCTCTACACCAAAGGTCAGAAGACAGGTATATAAAATGACAAAGAGAAGGAACAAAATGCAGTCTCAGGCCCCGAGTTCACCCAGTACAAATGCAGAAGACACTAGCACTGAGGAAACTGGAAATCACACACCAGATATCTCTGAAATAATAGCTTTGGCAGTGAAGAATCAACTGCAGAAAGGTATACAAGAAATAATTTCGGAACTAAAAAATGTAGTGGTAACTATA